TGCAAATTTCTCTTTTGCTAAGAAACCCTCGGTTTATGGCCTGGAAGAGTCTCCCAGCAGCTGCTTTTCGTGTAGCCAGCTCGGTCTTAATGCCTCCATTTCTGTCTAATACAACTCCAAGGTATCTGAACTGGCTGACCTGCTCCAATGAATACTGTCCCATCATGATCTTAAGTTTTTTCTCCTCTCTTGAGATAACCACAGTTTTAGTTTTGGAGATACTGATGATCATCACTCTCTTCTCAAGCTCTTCCTTCCAGACAAGTAAGTTGGACTGAAGGTGTGCCTCTGATTTAGCTATCAGGGCCACATCGTCTGCAAATGCCAGCTCTGATATACAGATTGGTCTCATCTTCCAGTACCCTACAGAGTATTTCTTTGCCTTCTCCTTGCAGGTCCTGATGACATCATCCATCATAAGAATGAAGAGGTAGGGTGAGAGAATAGCACCTTGTCTAACACCGCTAGTGGTCTTAAATTCTTCTGACTTTTGGTCTGCCGTTCTTACATAATTTCTGCAGCTTTTGTAGAAACTGTATTGCACTGATCAGGGGTGCTGGGATGTTTTTCCCTGCCAAGCAGTCCCAGAGCTTGTTTCATGGTACTTTCATCTCATTCACACTAAATACATTTCAGAAAACGGTGAGTGGCCTGCTGCAACAGAATTGGTGGTGCCTTATGCTGATCTGTGTGACTGCTGCTTTCATGAACGATGAATTGCATTTCTAGTGGTGGACTGTTTATGTTGGCACTGATAGCAGAACGTTGGCACAATTAGCACATTTATCAGCAGCGTTTGTGTGTGTGTGTGTGTGCGTGCGTGCATGTTGATATTCTGATGCCTCAAAATCAGATCCACACTGTACAATCAGTTTCAGGAAAACTGTCCTGGTCAGTATGATCTCTAGAATTAGTAAAAATGACCAGCATGATGTTCGCCACATCAAGAGGCAATTTATCTGTTAAAAAATGGTATAGCACCACATACCGAAGGTACCGCTGGTATGAAAAGAGTTCTTTACTCACTGGCTACCTCCCTGTGTATGTTTAGCTTCATGAAATGGGTACCAAATTATTTTTTGTGTGGAAAGGAAAGGAAATGGTTGCTACAGTAGTAGTAGGCTCCTTTACCCCACCAGGGCATCACACAAGCGATAAACACCCAATGATACAAGTGCCACCATGTGGATGAGGATCACCGGTGGTGAAGTCCCGGAAACCGCGTTCAGCCATTAGATCATATTTATGGCTGGGCTATATTGCGGCCCCTGCAAGAGCCAGAGTGGGGCTTAAAGAAAAAAATTTGCATTCCACAAGGAGATGACTAATGGTTGTTATAACCTGTTACGTCATGATCAAAGATGTCTGTAGATCCTCTACAGTGGTAAACTACTATGTGACTATACCTTTCTGTTTCTCAAATAACAAACCAATAAATGTTAGCAGAAGTAAAGTAAAGATCCTCTACAGTTGTAAACTACTATGTGACTATACCTTTCTGTTTCTTCAATAACAAACCAGTAAATGTTAGAAGTAAAGTAAAGATCCCCTACAGTGGTAAACTACTATGTGACTATACCTTTCTGTTTCTTCAATAACAAACCAATAAATGTTAGCAGAAGTAAAGTAAAGATCCTCTACAGTGGTAAACTACTATGTGACTATACCTTTCTGTTTCTTCAATAACAAACCAGTAAATGTTAGAAGTAAAGTAAAGATCCCCTACAGAGGTAAACTACTATGTGACTATACCTTTCTGTTTCTTAAATAACAAACCAGTAAATGTTAGCAGAAGTAAAGTAAAGAACTATGAGGCCCAGAATCTAGGAATTTGCAAACAGCTCATTTAAAAAGCCCACTACACAGGTCACTAAAAAAATCAAAAATGACAATGAAGGGTAATAATGAATAAATGTGAAGGGAGCAGAGAATTAAATAGAATACATTCCCCCTTGGGCTTACAGAATGTATAGTGTGACCCTGCCGCTCTGACCCAAAAAGTATTTTAGGATCCTGCTTGAGTTAGAAGTAGAACGGAGCACTTATGGGTTTATACCCGTGTGTCATATGTTGATCCATCTACTAAACGAAACCCAATGAGCGCAAGATACCCTGATTTTACATCTCTCTTTACAGCCCTTTGGGCCTCTGATGGTAAACCTCCTGGAACTGAAAGAGTTAATGGATACACTTTTATTTGCAATAAGTGAAGTTACTTGACAAATGTACAGTGTTCACATCTTTTCCACACGCTTATCTTTATACTTTTTCACTGACGGCTACTTGACAGGTAGTTATAAAAAAGTCCTCCCCATGTGGAATGCAATTTTTTATTTGAAGCCCCATCCTGGCTTCTGCAAGGGGCCCTGAATATAGCTGGGCCATAAATGTGGCGTAACGGCTGAAAGGGGTTTCTGGGACCTCTTCACGGGTGATCCTCACCCGCATGTTGGCACTTTGTCAGCAGGTGTTTATCGCTTGTGTGATGTCGTGGTGGGGTACAACTACCTACCTACCTACCTTGATAGTTAAAAATACGTGGTTGGTCTCTGTGTTACAATGTTTGCACCATGCTTCACCAACCTTTTTTTAACCTTGTCATTTCACCAGCCCCAAGGATAATTCATGACATATTTTCAAAATCTCAGTTTCATACTATATTTCTCTAAAAATTTTAAAACTTGTATTAATTGTTTTTGTAATATGCTTTTTAATATCTGAACCACATTCATACAGTCTGTCCATGCTTCCAATTTGCCCATCAAAGACAGTGAACTCTCTCAAATTTATGTACAGTCGAATCTGGATAAGTAGAAGTTGCAGGGACCAAACAAAATGGTTCCACTTATCAGGACTTCTACTTATCAAGACAGCAGACACAATGGAGAAGTGGACTCGGCTGTATATAACTTCCTACTTCTGTACTGGGTAACTCTTGTTCAAGCCACCATCAATAAACGAGGTGCCATCTCTACAGTGAAGGTTGGCCGCATTGAATCTCCAATGATTTCTGTCTCTCATCCCAGTTGCACATTTTCTCAGACCAGTTTGTCCAAGCAAGCAGCACTGGTCAGAATGTGTCTTGTCTCTGTACTGTCATAAAAGGTATCTGGTTTTGTCACAACCAACCTAATGAAGAGCTCCTGTGTATGTTATTTCCCCTTTCCACCTTTTGTCAGCTTTTTAGTCACAGTTCAGTGGATTAATTTCTTGACACAGTCAGGACACACCTCTCAAGTCACACAGACAGGACACACCTCTCAAAGCAATCTCACATGTGGCGAATTTCTGTTTTATTCTTCTTTTTTCTTTATCTGCACTGTCTCTAGCGTGAACTTCACCTCTTCTTCTCCTCTTCCACCTTGTACCTCATCGAAGTGTCGGGGGAAGATGTAACATTTGTTGATGAGCTCTGTCAAGAGCACTATTAAGACTAATGCTCATTTCTGTAAGGCTGTTTATAATGCCATCACTCCAAATTTTCTGAGGTCTTCCGCTCAGTCTATACTGTACTATATTGTAATGTTTTGCTCTGGCAGATAGTACCAGGGCATTCTTGTTACGTGTCCCAACCACTTCATTTGTTGTTCTTTGATGACCTGTAAGACTGACTTTATTCCTAGTATTCGTCTGATTTTGTATTCTGTCTTTCCTTGAAACTCCTGCAGCTCTTCTAAGGCATTTCATCTCTGTTGTCACAATTTTACGTTCATTGGAGGATGTAAGTGTCAACATCAGGCACTGATAGCCTAGTGTTGGCCAAAACATAGTTCTGATATTAAGCTTCACTTTAGTACTTCGGAGTATCTGCTTGTGTGTCAACAGGGAAATAGTTGCCCGAAAACTTGATTAGCTTTGGCACATCTCGAGCTAACTGAACTTCACTGACTTTTGTAATTCGCTCATTGAACCATAAAGTTAGGCTTCCGCCTCCTGGCCAGAAGTTTTGCCATGAAATTTTGTATTTGGAGTCTTGGAGGATGTGATCTGATTTCTGCTGATTAAAACAATCTATCTCCGGCAATTTTTCTTGCTTGAGCTCTTATATGGATGAGAGGAATTTATGATAAGAACTATTTAATGGTCCCTGGTGAGTACTCCTTATCAGGTCTGTACTGTACCAGCTTAACTGAAGTTGCCACTGTTCTGATCACTAATGAAGAGTCTTAGGGAGAAATATCACACGCCTTCTATAGTGGTGTATTACTTGTGTGTCATATTCGAAAACTGTCTGCTTTTCACACAAAAAAGATTACAGAAAAAAAAAAAAAAAAACCAGCGAAAACAAGTAAAAGCCACAATTAACTAAAACACAAATCTCATGAGCGTTGAAAAGAAAGAAAAATAATTCCGTGCAGAAACCTTCGCATAGCCCCATTCTCCATCCTTTTATTTTTCAACATTTTAAAATGTTTTTTTGGAATAAATAAGGATGCATAAACGGGTAATCAATAAACACAAACAGAGTGAAACATTAAATGGAATACCTTTCATGGGGCCTAAACAAAAATTAGGGGGGAAAAAAACAACTAATTGCAGCTCAGCCTGCTTAGGGCAATCTCAGATGTGGATTTCTATTGAGAAGAACAATTTGTTTTCTTGGTAATTTTTCGTGCTTAAATTCTAATCTCGATAAGAGTAATTTCTGATAATTTGTTAGGTCCCCAGTGAGTTCTCCTCATCAGGTCTGCACTTTAAATGGGGTGACTCATGACCGTGATCTCTATTATGAAGGCTTTAAATGGGAAACTGTGATACCAACTGTTTAAAAAAAAAAAAAAACAAGAGGGTGATGAGGAAACACTAAAAATGCAATTTTTAGTCACTATATTTATATTCTGGCTTATTAAACACTGAACAGGCTTAGTTTTTCCACAAGGGAATATTGCTTTCTTCACCTTGCATACACTTATCTATCTAAAAGAGGCAATGACTATATGTTTACACACACTAGTATACACAAACATACATCTCAAAAAATGGTGTCAGTGTGGTAATGTTTATCTCAAATGTGCATATGCTCGGTTGCTCTCACAGATTTTATGAGTCTCTTGCTTCTTTCGTATTGCCTTTCCCTGCAAAGAGAAAAGATTAATAATGTGATATACTCGGGTATTTTTAATGACCGGCTTCTGGTTTAATATGGTAGATAGGTAGACTGACTGTTTTTTAAGCTGTGGTAAGTTCTTGCTTCTGACAATGGTTAGCCATTGCATTTTCCCCATATGGGGACTGAAAATATATTGTTCTGTTGCCCAGCTACTGAGCTGAGTTCATGGCGCAACAACGAGCTGTGGATTTTCAGTTAATATTTCCAATACATAATTTGTCCACAGTGTCATTATCTATGCAACTGTCTACTTCAATTGATATATAATTAAACAACGCAAAGCAAGCATTTTCATTCAGGGATAGACAGAGACAGACAGACATTTTAAAAAATAGACAGATAGATGAATGTATAAGTTAGCAGGTAGGCAGATAGATTAGGCAGACAGAAAGATAGATTTACAGACAAAGCTAACAAACCTGATATTTATAGGCATCCATAATTTCCATAGTCAGTTTATCTTCCATTGGAATTCTCCTCGTTCTGTCTCTGCAGCTTTCAATTATCCATTTCATCGCATTAAACCTCTGTTCAATTGGTTTTGCACAAACAGGAACCTAAGATACAAAATGACTGTTGTCATGTATACATTTTGATATAATTAACAACGCTCAAACTGAAGCCCAGAAATAGTGTTTTTCTACAATGTGTTCTTCAATCAACACAGGCCAAGGACTCTATTGTTTGCTATCACATACAACCCCATATCCTCACACTCATTTTAACTTCACTCTCCAACTCCTTTCTCCGTGTGTTATTTGTCTGCCCCTTTTCTATGACTCTGTGGGTTTCAGTGTAAGGTCATTCTAATTATACTGCTCCCAGGTTTTCTCAGTATGTGTCCTATCCAACGCCAGCGTCTTTTCTTCACCTGTTGATTTACTAGGATTTGTTTAGCTCTTTTACAAAATCCACATTAGTGATTCTGTCATACCATTTAATTCCTTTTATTTTGCCCAGGCACCAGTTAATGAACGTTCATAGTTTTATTAGTAACTGTTTTTGTTGTTCTCTATGTTTCAGTTCAATACAGCATTATTGACTGACTATACAGTCAAATATTTAGTTTTCTATTAGTTAAAATTTCTTTGACTACCACAAATTTCTGGGCACCATGAAAATTCCCTTGGCCTTTTTGTTTGTATTTATCTTTATCTATATTATTACATAATAAGTAAATGACTCAACATTTTGGAGGGGGGCGGCGGCCTCTATTACGACACAAAGATGTGTATAAAATGGGACATGAATGATACAGGTAAGAATAATTTGTGGGAACAAGATGCCATCGATTGTACTGCAATGAGGAGGGAAATTTAAAAAAAAAAAAAGAACAGCGATAAGAGAAACTTATTGCAGAAAGATTAAGACCTTAAGACCTTTTTTTAATTGGCTCAGCCTAAACTGGGTACCAGAAAATGTCATGGGAAATAATGGTGGCCAGTGTTTGTTTTATCAATATTCACCGAATTCTGACTGGTACAAAAGAACAGGTGCTACCACCAGTTACCCAATAGGCTTTGAGGTGTGGGAAAGGATCTTAATACTGACAGGATAGCACTGTGGCTAGAAGCAGGCCTATCAGCCTGAAGGTCTTGGATTCGAATTTTCATGGTGGCAAACATTTGCTCCAAGATCAACATTGCTTAAAATGGGTACCAGGAAATAATTTGGGAAGTAAATGCAGATGGCACTGTGATGACCGTACCATCTATCAAGTGCTATGTGGTCTATAAGATACATGGTCCTTTACTTACTGTATTTAAAACAAACAAAACAAAAATTTGAATTAGGACTGACTGCTGTCTCACTGAAATAAATACACACACACAAAAAGCAACTACAGTGTAATCATTTCTTCTTCTTCTGTGTTCACCCTTAAAAGGGCAGCTGGTGGTTGACAGCTAGGCTGTGACATCTGTATATCTGGCCTAACACATCCAATTTCAGCAAATCAGTAAGTAATCTTCTTTAATGGCAGGCTTGCTAACCCTTTTGTCCCTGCATGAGTCCTCCTGATATTTACAGGTTTTTGGTACCATGCCTGTGTAAATGCTTTGGTACTAGTTGCAACTGCATAGTGTGGTAGGTGTGATTATATTTCTAACCCTCTTTAAAACAAAACATTATTATTTGAGGTGAATTAATGGCTTTTTTTGCCATCCTTATGACTTGTTCATGTCACTTTGCTTCAATGGCTATTTGAATAGACAGTTTTCATGGCCAAAAAAGAAGTACTGTCCCAATTAAATTTCCTAATTAATTTCCATAATGTTCGTCTATCTTTATTTATATTACTGTCCAAATAGGTGTTCGAATCCACGTCTTGGAGTGGGATACCATTAAGAAAAACCACATTACTTTTTGCCTGATTTATTCTCATTATTTTACCGACGTTACGTGGATGACATCATCACCACAAACAAACAACAGGCAGAGTCGTTTCACACCAAAATGAACCAAATACACAAAAACATCACTGTGTCCCTACAACATGAAAGTAACAACACTTTTTAGACATTTTAATTAGACGTAGAGATGATGGCACAATTGAAAGGTCAGTTTATCGTAAAGACACTTGGACAGGCCAGTACATCCATTTCAACAGTTTTGCACCCATGCAATACAAATGTGGTCTAGTGAGGACACTGTTTCACCGTGCTAGGAAGATTTGTTCCATCGACACGCTACAAGCTGAGTTTGAAACGATTAAACAAACACTGCTTTCTAATGGATATCCAGGTGGCTTTATAAAGTGCCATTACCAGCCACCTAAACCAGTTACCTTAGAAATGTTGGTGCCAAAAAAACTAGCCTATATACATCTAACGTTTCGGGGAGACAATGTCATGCAATGTATATATGACCGACTCAAAACAGCAGTCGGTCAAACCTTTTACGCAGCCATGCCTGTTATGAGATTTAAAACCACCATGATTCCTACGCCACCAGTAAAAGAACCAGTGTCGACGTACGCCAGATCTAACTGTATATACCAATTTAAATGCACCTGTAACGCTGCATATGTGGGCAGAACTGATCCACGACTGGAGTAACGGGTTGCGGAACATATTCCACTATGGTTGGTAAAAGCAATGCAGATCACCTCAACAACAACGAATCAGGTGACTGGTCGAAATAATCCATCATCAGCAATTGCGTGCCATATTCTAAATTCCGGGCACATCATTAACTGGGATGATGCATTTTGAATTATTTACAATTTGGCCAACCGTAGATTACTTCGATACGCGGAAGCTTCAGCGATTGGCAGATTGAAACCAGATCAATGTAGGCAAAAAGAAATGGTCGTTTCCCTACGTTTACCTTGGTGAAACAGTTTGAAATGAACTCGAATTTGTGTTTCAGTTTCTAGGATTCAGCTATTTGCTTCATTTTAATTAATTGTTACTGTCGTATGCACCTGACGAGATACAGCGAAATATGCCAGGCAATAAATTGTGCAGTCTATTGTTTGTGTCTTCCTTGTTCATATTCTCATTATCTTTGTCTTTCCCTTATAGATTTTCAGATTTAACTGTTGTGATCTAGCATCAAGTATGTTTAGTTTATCTTGCATCTGATTCCATGAAGAGAATTATCATCAGTGAAGTTCAGATCATCAAGCTGTTTTGTAGGGGTCCATTGAATTCCATTTTTGGTTGCTGTCTTCATAATTCACATAATTCAATCTATTGCCAGCAAAAATAGGAGAGGCGATAAAAGACACATCCCTGTCGCACAGATGTTTTTATTTAAGTTTCATAATGTACTTTCACAGAATTATAAGGATGCCTTTCTTTTCAACAGATTTGGAAAACGGTCATCGTTTTACAATTCTTAAGGCATTCCAGGAGCAGATAAAAGAAGAAGGGTGAAAGGGTTGAGGGGCAGTGGGTCTATTTCTTTTTTCCCCCTAAAACATAAAGTGTGGAATCATTTATTTTCATTAGTCAACCATTCTTTTATTTTATATGTTGATAAAGACTTCGAAATGTCTCTATCTCTCTCTGTCTGTCCTTTCCTGTGGAGTTTCCAAACTGCTTGCTGTGCATATATGTGTGCAAGCACGTTTTTCCCCTCGAATCATTGTCATTTATAATAAAAGAAATTTGTTTTAGACAATATAGCACACGATCAACTAAACGATAAACAGACTCCATTCGATACCTACTCTGTATGCGATACCTCCTTTCACAGTTCGCTTGCTAAGAAGAAGCGGTTTGCAGTTATCCACAGCCTGATGAAATACAGCAATCGGGTTGCACTCAATCCCTTGTCTTTCTTCGTCTGAGTTGGCCCTGTTGTATTTTGCAACTTGTGTGTGTTTCAAGTTTTCAAATAACTGTGGATGTACATGTTTGCCATTTTGAAAAACAATACACATTATTTTCAGTTGAAATCCAAGATAGTAAATCTCTGACCATTATAAAGATCTATTAAAGTAAAGGACCCTTTTCCACACCTTCAGGCGTATTGGGCATATAGGGCTAGACCCCCCCCCCCCCCCCCCCCCCCCCCCCCAAAAAAAATGGGGCTCAGAAACCACATGCACAGAATATGTGACTGATGGGTAATGTAGTCAATATCATCATACCCCTTCACACCCCAATTAATTTTCTGATAAAATGTTAGGCTTGGCTAACCCAGGAGCCAAGGTCAACTGGGGGAGGGGGGATGAATCCCACACTGAGGGGCTTAGGCAGACTATAAAGTGAAGACTCTTTTCCACACCTTTAGGTATACTGGGCACATAGGGTTAGATCTATATTTTATAGACCAATCGGCACGGTAAGTGATGTGGTCAGCATTATGCCACCCGCTTTTTCTTACCAGGACCATAGCTGGTACCCACTAAGTTGACTATAAAAACCTATGTAAAAATGTACGGATTTAAAGACAGACTTACCCTGCGCATGATCTCTCTCACTCTTTCCTTGTTGCCACCTTGCATAATCATGTTGGTAAATTTCCTATAAAGAAATCGAGAAAACAAAAGTACAGTGAGATAACTACTGAAACAAACTTTGAGGACAATGTCACCCTGATAATTCTTTTGAGTCCAAGACACTTTTGTTTCTTACTATGTTGTCACCATCTCACTTTTTTTCAATTTCTCTTTAACTGCTTCGGGTGTCTAGGCAAACATCAGGTTTTGCTTCTTGCTCTTCTGGCTGCCTCGACTTCAGATACACTGTGGTGTGGTAGAGTGTCAAGTTATCTTGTCCTCTTGTGCTTGGTCTGCCTTATACTCTATGTCCCTCTCTCCTTTATTGTTGTATGCTTTGCATGATTTGTCATTGTGAGGCATTCTCTCTAAATGGACAAACCCTTCCGCCATAGTAAATGGCCTAGTTCATCTCATGGCTGTTAATGTCTATACTGTTAATTATGTCACCATGGATGAAATTGTGTCCGTAAGATTTACAATGGTTCCAGAGAATTTTTAATACATACTGCAATTAATATTTCTTCACCGTAACATAATGATATTAAGCAATTTGAAACAGGCATTTCCCATACTCTACACTACTTTAGAAGACAGAAGACCTTACAGAAAATTGTTAACAAAATAAACTATTTTGGAAAACAAATATCTTACAGTAAATTATAAACAAAATACACTACTTTAGAAGACAAATAACTAATAGTAAATTGTTATCAATATATAGCACTATATAAGACAAATACCTTACAATATTTTCTCGTTACAAATTTAAAAAATGTGGACACAAACAATAAGTTGTTTAATCTATTGAAACAGTGAAGCGACTAGATGGATTAAAAGGAATCTTTTTTTTGTGCTTCATTATATAATGATTTAACAACAGCAAAGTGACTAGATTGATTACAAGGATTTTAAAAAAATGCTATATTATATATTAATTGGGAGTTGCCACGAATTGGAAGGTCGTGGGTTTGCTCCCTGGTGGAGTAGGACTTTTTTTCAAAAATGACCTTGGCTCCCAGGCTGACCCAGCCTTGAGTGGGTACTGGGTGCAGTACCGAGAAGTAAAGGCGACTGGCGTAATGCTGACCACATCACCCATCTTGTGCCGATTGGTCTATAAAATATAGGTCAGTTATATGCCATATTGGCCTAAAGGCGCGGAAAAGGGTCCTTTACTTTTTTTTATATACTGATTTAACAACAGTGAAGTGACAAGATCGATTAAATGGATTCATTTTTGTGCGTCATTATATGTTGATCTCATTTTGCAGTAATGCACTTAACGAGATACAGGCAATAAATTGTGCAAGGTATTGTTTATAATCACATTGTTTAAATACCTTAAAGTTTTCAGAGGACAAAGACATGACAGCAAGTTGTAAACAAAATAGGGGAGTCTCCATGGCTTGAGCCATTTTACTTTGCATCATGAAGTCATGGTTTGTTTCACAGACTGCGTCAAGAATGACATTTTTACACAGATCCTAAGGATCATTCATTTCTGTAGCCACAGAGTTTGTGCTACCCATTCTGCAGAGACAGACCGAACCATGAGAAACAAAACTTCTAGACTTCAAATAAAATACAGTGTTTTAAAAAACAGAAAGCTTGCAATAAATGTAAACAAAATAAAATAATATTACTGAATTTCCGCATCATAGAAAAGTGGTGAGATCGAACAATCTGTGTTTGGTGCTTTGATGGGTCTGTGTTTTCGAAGATCATTCTCTTCCAATCCTTCAACCAGCTTTGCTTTCTCCAAAACTGGATCCATGTAGTTTTTATTGTATTGTGACATTCTGGCAGTCTGTTGAAAGCTACAAAAATATTTTAAAAATTGCCATTGTCAATTTAGTGTTTTTTTGTGTGTGTGCAGTGAAAACTAATCATTGAACCAGTAAAAAGTATTTAAATTATTAGGACATGACTGTCATAGCATTATGGGTGGATCTATAGGTGCTCCGATTTCCTTCTCAGCAGCTGAACAAGCTTAAAGCGAGTGATCATACCAGTTCTGTGTTGATTAATTACAAATATTTTGCCCTGTCAATAAAAGTTATCTCTAGTATTTATCAAATTCAATATCTGCCATCACTCTCACAGTCAAATATCGGTCTTTGTATACCCATTCTCCGTAATGACTTCATCATTACGAACAACTTCATCTTCAATCTTTTCCACACAAATTTTGAATCCGGAATACCACCTCAACCATGAGATAAATACTGATCCCCATAAATCTATCTCATCAATTCAACTGTGTTCAAGCCTGAAACAGAATTAATGTTCTCCCATGCTGCATACGTAACAATGCAAAGTTCACTTATTAGAATGTTATAATACTAATATTACTTTATTATAATAATTAGTTATATAATATTTATAACATATATTATAATACTAACATAAAACATTACTTGCATAAGTACTAGTGCTTGAAATTTTACTTAAATCAAGGATAGTTTTTAATTTTTATTAGGAAAACAAAACAGAAGAAATAACAGTCATTCTTACAAATTATTGTATCAATTTGTTAAAAGTGAGGCTCTGTGATCATGTTTAGTTCATATTCCATCGGGTGAGTTTCAAATGCTTAAACACTACATTTTGTATGTTTAAATGACTTACTTAGCAACTGTTTGAAAATAATATGGTCATTTTTGCCCCCATCAACATGATTTTTGGCTTGAGAAGATTCTAATTTAAATAAAACAGCATGTTGATCAGATTAATGTGAAGTTAGATGAAGAAAGTAGCCAAGCAAACTTGTCTCAGTCATGTAAAGAGTCAATTTTGGATGGACAGCTTGATTATGAACCTTGTACAAAGCAAACAAAGATAACAGTCAACTGGTAGAATGGGAACAAATATTAGTGAAAAGGCATTTTCTTCAGTATCAGTTGTTTTAATGCTATTCTCCTTATTATTTAGGAACATAGCTGCAAAAGTTTGGGCAATCATATCATTAAATAAAGTTCTTTTTGCGTGAATATACTAATTTTTTTCCCTCTAGAAGTAGGTTTTTAAAAAAAGTAAATTATGGTATTATATGATGATATTCCAACAAATTTTCTGAAAGATTGTGTTTAAATTATTTTTATACTTTACTAAGTTAGTTAGTTAGTTAGTCTTTCCTCTTGTGTCGAGTGCGGCACATAGGGCAGAGGTCATGACTCTCCATGCATGGCGGTTCGTTGCAATCTGTTGTAGGCCTTGGATGTTTGAGTGGCCCATGAGCGAGCCTTCCCTGATGATAGTTCTACGTAGAGTTTCCCTTGGTCTTCCACGAGATCTTTTCCCCTGTGGTGTCCAAATGAGGGCTTGGTAAGGAAGTCTTGATTTATCCATTCTAAGGGCGTGGCCGACATAGTTCCAGCGGCGTTTTACTAAGTGGTTAAGGTTTATTTTTTATCATTCTGGATACATTTTATCGAGTTTTTCTTGAGCAACATGGAGGTCTGGGCCTTAGGCATTGCAAACGTGCTTCATAATGCCAGGGTGCCAGATTTGATCGCAGCTGCAAGCAATTTTCTGCCTTGCTCTGACTAAGTCGTCCAAGGCTTTTTTTAGTCTTCGTCCGGATTTGACAGGAGTACCAGACGAGTCACTTTAGTAATATCTGTGTATTCACTGGCTGTAAACGATTTACTGATCTTGCTTTTCTCACTTTTCTGCTTTAGCTTTAGCTGTTTGCAGACTTACTAAATGGTCCCCCCCCCCCCCCCCCCCACCTCCCTCAGGTAGAGCAGATATCTAGAAACCCAGCTCTCTTCAAAGGAAACCACTAATTAATCGACTTACTTTTACAACATGCTTGTTGAATTGAGACAGTCTATCTACTCCCCCCCCCCCAGATGCCACACGGGGAAGTATTAGTAGTTAAGTCAGTCTCAGTCACTGTGTACAGTTAGTCTCTCAATCAGTTGAGCAGTCAGTCAGAGAGACTAGTGAGTGAGTCAGTCAGTCAGTAATAAAACATAATGTTAAAATTCAACTGTCGTATTTTAGTTTAATTTGTTAAAAGAAAAAACTTACTATGAAAACGACTGGTCCCGTACACAGCACTGACATTTTAGAAAACTGTTCGTCAATAGAGATGCTGATGGAATTAATTTTGTCAGCCTGCTTTGAAAACAATACAAGGGCATCGCCATTTTCAGGATGACTGTAAAATTACAAAAGGACTGCTTCGGAAAAAAAAGTACGACTCAAATAATAATATATATTTTAAATAAATTTTAAAATGTGTTTTTTGAAGTGTGTGTGTGCAAGCGCGCTTGTGCATATGTGTGTGTGTTTCTTTTCAACCTAAAAATTAGGTTACATTTCACATTGAAGTATATATATATATATATATATATATATATATATATATATATGTGTGTGTGTGTGTGTGTGTGTGTGTGTGTGTATGTGTGTGTAATTAACTTATATGTTACACACACATACAAAACGTACCATTTATAAAGTGATGTCATCAATATTTGATTATTGGGAGTAGTCGTAGTGTAGCGGCTAGATGATCGCCTGCGGATCTTTCAAGATATTTTAAATGTGTGTGTGGAGGGGAGCAAGAGGGAACTGAGCTTCTGGGTTCAGGTGGTGTACATTAAAACTGATTTGAATTGATATTTTATTTAGCCATTAGGTGCATAGAATTGAAATCCTAAAAAAGGGGGAGGGGGCAGAGCACCAGCCTCCACTCTAGTAATATTTTAATTGTGGAGCTTAAGAGGTCTAACCCGCCACCCAGTTTTTGCCTAGGTGGTGTGGAGGATGTGGTTGAGGTGGGGCTGGTCCCCTACCCCCACAACCCCCCTCACCAATGTTTCTAACTGGTGTTGCTGGAGGGGAGGCTGAGCACATCCTCAGTGTGCCTATACTGTACAATTATAATCCCCCTTCCCCTATGTTTACTTCGTGGCGGTACGCCTGCAACCCACCCCCTCCCCCACCCTTTTGGTTTCCTTTCCCCGTTCCCTTTTTAAATATATGTATTAGTAGGAGCAGCAATGTCACGCGCAGAAAAAACAAAAACAAATTGTCTAGCAAATGTAAAATCACAAGTCGGACGAAAGATCAATTATGAACAAGTGCATATATTGCAGGCACTAAACTCAGATGAAACAGATGCGAGATGGACACGGCAACTTTGATTACCAAGAAATTTGTAGAAAGAAACGCACTGGTAAGTGATCAGTCAATCCCCCCCCCCCCCCCTATTGTTCAATGAAAACAAGCCGATGACATTTTGAGAACCGCTATAAAAACAAGGAACAATCGTTACATGTAATCTTAAACAGATGTCACAGGAAACTGGTGAACACTAAATTAGGTAAGCTAATATAGGCGGAGAATTCAGAGAAATACCCGAACAGCCGCTAGTATAGGTGCACCGCCACAATGGAAACACAAGCCAGCATGTGGTCATTATAATGGACTCACAGAACATGCTTCGTAAAATAGAAACTGGCATACAGAACGTAGAGTGGCTTTTTTTTATAAGAATGATCGGGAGCATATCGTGGATTTTCTGTCATGGAAATTCGGGTGTGCGGAGTAATTAGCAAACTGACAGATAGGCTGCTGCCGCCCCTCAGGGCAGGGAGCTACGTTATGACAAAGCAGAAGTGGTGAAGACTCTTGAATCAAGTGGACAGTGCAACAGAACAGACCAATACCCATACACTGACATATAGCGAGAGGTGAGCGGGAAAAGGGGGGGGGCGGGGTTGGAAGATTGTCAACACTACGGAGAAAACATAGGTGGACCTTTAATCAGGTGACAACAGGGACTTTACGCAGGCTACCGAGGAAGGAGCATGAGCACACGTGTAAATGTCCCACAGTACAGGAATGTCAATTCTTGATTCATCAATTCATCAATTCAAAGAAAACACTGGGGGTGGGGAAAGGGGGTAGGGGTGAGGGCGGGTCCCTTGGGGAGCTTAGCATCCCACCCTGTTTTCTTCATGGCCGTGCGCATGCAGAGAGGTGTTTCATAAGGTTCTGAGTGGGAGGCAGGGGTTTAACATGAGCAATCCTGCCATCTAACGCGACTTCCATAAATGTTGTCGATACATGCTTCTCTGGTAATGGGCTTACCCAAGGAATAGTCACGCCCTGCACTTGCCTGCTTAACTTCACCTCTGTGTATTTGGCCTTATACAGCTGCTACTAGACAATATGTATGTTAAGTTGTACCTCACCAGGGCATCACACAAAGCGAAAAACACCTGGTGACACAAAATGCCACCATGCGGATGAGGATCACCTGTGGAGAGGTCCTGGAAACCATGTTCAGCCATTAGGCCATATTTCAGGTCTGGCTATATTTAGAGCCCCTGGCAAAAGCCAGGGTGGGGCTTCAAAATAACTAAAAATTTCCCACAAGGAGATGTCGAGATTATAACTAGACAGTATCGGGGCAGACAAAAGGATCATCACTGAAATCAGGACAGCGTGGCATGAGTTTTGCATGAGCTTCGGTAAAACCAGCACAGAACCTGCTGGCGTCCGGGGAGAGGTACATGCTATTTTATTCCCTTATACAGACCGCACAAGCGTCCCAATATGGGACGCAAACGTTTGTTATTTGAAAGCTCCACCCGGCTGTAGTCTGGGGCCCTAATATAACCTTATGGTTAAACGGGGTTTCTAGGACTTATGCCTGGTCTCTGTGTGTGTATCCCTAGTTGTTCGGTCCTGGTTGCATTGAACGTAACGTAAACATTCTCATCATGCATGTGACCAAAACCACCACACAAGCCTTCTACGTAAGATTTTTGATTCCTCCACTGAGTAATTATATTTTTACAGCTTTTAGTAAAATGTTTAATATTACAATTTTATTTGAACACAGAACAAGGGGAAGAAAACGCACAATAAAGACGACTTCAAAAGCAGCCATCGGGAATGCGAGAATTGGGAGTAAAGATCGGCACAGCCAAGCATGAGAAGCACACGAAGTCTTGTCAACCAGCATAGGACTGGCACTATTAACCGCCTGACGCTGATTAATATGATGAGAGGGGAATCTGAGCACCTATGGATGTGTCCGGAGTGCCGTGATGATAATCCAACTCATCAAAAGCAGCAGTCGGGAAAAAAAAAGACCAACGCATTAGAAAAACCACACATAATATTATCACATGCCCCTTACATGAAAACTTGGTTGAGGTAGCTGGAAGTAGAGAAGAAGAGACAGTAAAAGAATTTCCCCAACTTTATAATAACACCTTTTCAGGTTAAATAACATTTATAGATCCATAACAGAAAACCGTCGTACGGAAACACAGTCAACTTAAGGAAGTGATGAACAGAGAGGAAAAGTGGCGACCAGTAACGTAGCAGTAGAGAAGAAGAAATATCGTCTCAGAAGCACTGAAGGAAGACAGGTGGACAACAGTTGATTACACATCGTAGATCTTCCAGAACCAGACGGCGATACAAGCGTTGGTTACCTATTGGAGATCCAAAATGTCGTATTAGCTCTTGGATTTAAAATGTCTTTCGGACATTTGCACCACCTACCTGACTTACCTCGATCGACCGAAAGAGAAGAATCTGTAGCTTGTCAACAGTAACTACTACCAACTACCAGGCAGCAGGCAAGTTGAAGATTTTGATTTTAAAATGTTTACTAATATTTTCTGTTATTCTTTCGTATAACATAAATAAATTAGAATCTCACTACAATTGTCAGTAGTGAAAATGCGTTTAAATAAATGTTTGTTTACAATTTGTATTTTTTATATTTTGATTATCAAAATTTGAATTATGAACTAAAACCTGTTTTAAAAAATGGTTGTGTGTAAAAAAAAATTATGAAAAATCTACTGGATAGAGCTGATGATAAAGTCGTGAACATTGTTTAGAATTCCAGCAGTATCTTTGAAGTCTACGGCTATTTTATGTCTTCTTTTTCTTCCTCTTCTTCAGCATTTGAACCCTTGATGATGAGGTGTTCATTACTGCAGATATCACCCGCCTCTGTTCATTTATCTCTGGGACAAGACTATCCATCTCTCTCCAGCTGATGACTCCAAGTATTTGTAGTTCTGTCTGTATATTTTTTTTCCTCTACAGCCTTTTTAGTCTGCCTATTATCCCACGGCCATTCAGCTTCTCATGTGCACAGTTTTTACCTCTTTGTCATCTGCCATTCTCTCTATGTCCCAGCCATTTCAGACTATTAGCTATCTTGATACCAGTGATCAGTAATGATTTAAACAGATTACTTTTTTTTGCTTTACTTTACTTTACTTAGTTGAACCTCATCTTCCTTTGGGGTGTAGAAATTTGCCAGAGAGATTGCCAGACTTCTCTGTCAGCAGTTTTCATTTTTGAATGTGTTCCAATCCAGACCTCTGTCAGTTAGGGATTGTCAGGTATTGTCTTCTCAGCGAACCCTGTGTTGCCCTGTGGTCTAGTCCCCTGGTTGTTGGCCTCCTATGCCTGCAATGGTGGCTGATTTTCTACTATTATGCACACATGCGCAAACCATTGTATTTGTGACCGTTCTACTCAAGTTTGTAAAGCCTGGGTTTCCGAGATCTCTTCCTGCCCTGATGCTTTGAGGCATTTGAGGAGTATAGAAAAAAAGCAGACTAATTTTTGTGTGATCTTCTTGTTGATCTATAGATGTAGAGAAGTACAGCATTATCACTGTATACATGTGTTTTGATACACACGTTTGTGGAAAATTAAACACCACGTAGCAGTGATGGATGAACAATGTTCCTGTGCCCTTTATCTCTCACTGGAGCATAGGCCCTCTACGCAGGGCCACCTTGATAGCATTATGGGCCCTCGGGCAGGCCAGTGCGCAAGTGCCCCTACGACAACCACTCATAGCAATGAAATAAAAATGACCAATAATATTAAAGATATATCTTTTTTACTAACACTTCAATAAAACTAGAGTGACAGCATAAACAAAGATTAGATGGCAGAGTATTAAATTACTATGAACTTACTGCAACAGGATTTGCTGTATTTCTTTTCACAGAAGAGTCATAAGTAAAGTTTTTTTACATACACAGAAAAGCATGGGGCTCCTAGGCTCCTTGGGCTGCGGGCCAGTGCCCAGTGGACCCTTACCAACTCATGCCAGAGTCATCCTATCCTTTGTTGTTGTATATAGCCATGTCCTCCCCATCTTTTTCAACTTCACTCTCAAGCTCTCTTCTTCTTGTGTTTTTTTGGTCTGCTCTTTTTATATGCCCCTGTTGGTTCCAGTGCAAAGATATTCTAGTTATATCATGCCCAGGTTTTTCCGACGCGTCCTGTCCAATGACAGCATCTTTTCTTAACCTCTTGATTCATCATAATCTGTTTACAGTTTAATTGTGTCCCACTGCTTAATCCTAATGATTCTGCCTTACAATTTCATTTCCTCTTTTTTGCACAGGCACTAGTTAGTCAATGTTTGTAGTTTATTAGTAATTGTTTTAGATCTCTCCATGTTTCTGCTCCAGTACTGATTTGACATTAGAATTATACTGTATAACTAATCACTTGTATGAACTTGCTGTACAAGTATATGTAAATTTTATATTAGTTACATACAGAAATAACCCAGTCCATAATAAAACAAAATTCATGCATAAAAAGAAATTGTTTTATAATGAATGTTTTATTTTCTTGTTTCATGAATACAACATATACTTAGCCCCTCTTGAAAGAGATTTAAAAAAAGACAGGACATATCCCAACCATTTTAAAATACATAACACTCCCTTAGAAACCCTTTACTTGTACACTCTCACATACTTTAAAAAAAAAAAATCATTATCCTAAAGTTATCCTTATATTCACTTGCTCACCTGCTTTTAACTGTCCTCACTCCTATGATTTTTATGAGGACATGTCTTTTGATGGAGCCGAACTGTTCATTTTATGACTTTTATTTAAATGTATCTCCAAGACCTCAGTTAAACCACGGCCGTCTCCAGCTGACGGGCCGTGCTGCTGACGTCACCGGGTCGGGCTAACGATGCGTTAACGCAGCGGTTCTCAAACAAGAAATAAACTATTTTTGACAGGGGCAAGGAAAGACAACGTAAATTCTAACTTTAAAGTATCTACATGCCTTCTTTAATAATTTCTCAATTTTTAGCCAACTTTTTTTAAAATTATTGCCGCGGCACCCCTGGCATACGCTAACGGCACCCCGGGGTGCCTCGGCACTCAGTTTGAGAACAGCTGGGTTAGCCTGACCCGATGACGTCAGCAGCATGGCCCGTTAGCTGGAGCCGGTCGTGGTTAAACTGTCTGTTTGCTAGTAAAATTGTAATTATTCTGATTTCAGTTGTGACTATGGCAGCCGCTCCGATGCAGGGTATGCATTCCATGTGGTATGACCACTATCGGGGAGCAGTTTATCCTCTAGACCTTGATGGAACACCCAGTTATAGGCAACCTAAACTATATGTAAGGATTCAGTTACCAGTTTAGCTGATTATATGGTTATGGCAGTTTTCATTGTTATTTTTGTACTTTCTGGGGTTGGTTCTGAGCATCCTTTTAGGCATGAGCAACTAACATTATTATTAGCATAACTGTTCATTAACTGACATTTAAGTGTCTGATTTGTATGTAAGATTTAAGAGTAGCACTGAGGGTGTTACTGAAAAATGCTATCATAGTTTTAATACAGATGTATCATTTGTAGTCTGAGTAAAAGTTCCCTTATGTTTTTCCATTGAGTACTGAATGTCTGCCAGATTCTCAGGTTACTTTCATTGTGCTGTTCCAACTAGACCACGGTAATCTAACATATTTCTACATTTTTCACATGGTTCTGAGGAGTCTTTACCTCATCTGCCTAGATCTACATAAATTCACCTTCGGTGTAGAACCAGCCAGTTTGTCTGCTTTTTAGTTTCAAAATACACAAGTATTCTCTGGAAAAATTATCTGAATGATGCTCACTGCTCACAACCTTCTAAGCAGAGTGTGCCACTATCCTCACAGCCAACTGTCTTCGCCATTCTTTGCATCCTTTGTGAGGCTGTTAAATCATGTTGTCAATGCTACTGGAAGGCTGCAAGGCTCCCACCTCCATTCTTAACTTGTATATTGTGGCATCACATGCCAGACAAGGATGCAGAGGTGCTGAACTACACGTGGTGCTCCACCAGGACCAGGGCTGAGACTGGTCCAAGACCTATCTACACCTCTTCGTAGTTTTCTTAGAAACAGATTCCTAGCTGAGGGCTTGACCAACAAAGTTATGTTTAAGGATGTTTCCTTCAAAGCCAAAGTGCATCTACCTGAAAGGCGAGGAACCAACAATCTGCACACAGTTAAGCCAGAATATAAAAAATGATTTGCACACAAAACTCATGTCCTAGAACAAGACTCAAGTCCAGACAAAAAGGACTTTCCACTGAAATTTACAGCCAATGAACAAGACAAAGAATATCCCATACTTTTGTTTGTTGTAAACTTATATGTAAAGTTAAAGTCGGGGATTGACTTCATAACACCAAGTTTTATCCCATATGGATTGGTCTATAAGCTGAACAGCTAGCCACATGCCGCAAGTGTCGCACAAAGTACAAACTCCACAGCTCCACCGATAATTCCAAGGGTCTCCATAAAATTTGCACATGGGAATTGAATGATACAGTCCATAAATTGAACTCATTACCTTTAGAGCGTGAAGCAAATGGCATTACCACTCACCATTAAGGCCCCCTAAACTTTTATTTAAAGAATGCCACCACATCATAAATTTAAAAAAAAAAAAAACTTTTCTGAGTAAGTTTTCTTCTTCTTCTTCTTCCTGTTCACCTTCTGTAAACTTGTTTGTCCACTTTTGGACTGCAGTCCTGTTCCAGAACCTGAGTTTTGCATGTGCATCTATTTTACAGATCTGACTTATTTGTATGCAGACTTTTGGTTCCTGGCCTCTCAGGCAAATGCACTCCAGCTTTGAAGGAAGCTCCCAATTAATTGGATCTTATGACATGCTTTTGGCAGTGGGTCTATTCTTATTTTCTCTTTAAAGGGTCCTGGAACCTAGACGGGGATCTGAGTACATGTTATTTTAAATTTCATTTCTGTTTATTTTGAAACTGCGAGTAAAATCGTCTCTTCATGTTTTCAGGCTGCATCATTGCTAGAAACCTGTTGTGCTTACATTGTTCGGGATGCTAATTTGACTCGCATTGCAATAGAATCTGTGCCACCAATATTATGTATCCACATGATGGAGGCGGCATTGAAGGGAAATCATGATCGTTCCATCCAAGCGCTGATGTCCAGATGGATGCTCAAATCTCTTGTTCTGTTCAAGCTTGTGCCAAGCGTGTTTTCCTCTCTTTTACCTCTGTATGAACCCCTTTATCAATCGGATATAGTACGCCAAGGTAAGCATCTTTTATGCTTCAGTTATTTATATTGCAATATATAAACTGTTGAGCGGATTGTTAAAACAGCACAAAGTAAAAGAGCCCCAGGCATATTGGGTATATGGTAAAAAGTAAAGGACTCTTTCGATGCCTTTAAGCACATTGGGCATAAAGGGCTAGACCTATATTGTATGGACCAATCGGCACTCGGTAGGTGATGTGGGCAACGTCACGCCCACCATCATTACTTCCCTGACCTTTACCTGGTATCCATTTAAGGCTGGGTCAACCTGGAAGCCAAGGTCATTTTTGAAAAAAAAAAAAGTTCAGCTTTCTCAGGACCAGAACCCATGACCTTTGGATCTGTAGTCAAGTGTCTATCCGCTACACCTCAATGGCTTCTAGTATATGGTGCTAACCCCATATATTTAAAGATCAGTTGGCACTTGAGTGATACCACTATCCTGCCAGTCACATTTTATTTCCCAGAATCTCTGTATGGGTTTAGGGCCTCTTGGGTTGGTTGGAAAGGGGGGGGGGGGTATAAGAATATACCCCCCCCCCCCTCCCTCTAAAAAAAAAAGAATGCATTAAAGGTCAGCTAATTAGGGATGTTTCCAGAGTGCATCTGCCTGAGAGGTGAGGAATCAACAGTCTGTATACAAGTATGCCAGGTCAGTAAATTGAATGTGCACACAAAACTCAAGTTCTGGACCAGTACTACACTTTAGATGTGGATGAATAACCATAACTTTCTGCCATAGTTTCCAGTTGGTGAATGTGAAGAAGATTTTCTGGCACCCTTATTAGACTGGGTCGACATGGGAACTCAAGTCAGTTTTAAAATAATGGGGGCCTAATTTTTTGGAGAAAGAAATAGAATAGACCTGTGGCACCCCCTAAAAAGTGTTTATTTAAAGGTGACTCATTAGGAGGGGTTTCGGATGTGTTGGGCCAAAAGACACACATTTTGCAACCTAGCTGTAAAGAACAGTGTGCAGATCACCCTTGAATGTTGAATTAAGAATCGACACCATAGCACTTGGGACACTCTCATAAGCGCTCTCGTCCTCATCTTCAGCATCAAGCAAAGAGTTCAAATTTTGATGGTACCAGTAACTGTCTGATTGTACATCCGTCTCGCCTTTCCCTAGAGTGTTGAGCTTAGGCTAGATTCCCTGGTAACTCCTCCTATTACCATTCTCCTCAGACCATAACTATCTATTTGTGCCTCCACACTGTTCACGCACTCCCAAAGGACTCCCACAACATTCAGCTTCTCATACAGCAATTCACCACCAAATGATATCTGCCGGCTCATTTCCCAACACATCAGCATGACCTGGAGAAAATATCAAAACAATGCTAACTACCCTTGACCTCTGAAGCGATGTTTGCCACTCTTCACGGAGCATGCTTGTCTCCACCTTTCTCAGCATACTCTGTGATTCAGTTACAATCATGACGTGTGTACAACTGAATCTTGGCGAGCAGAAGGCATCAGTGACTACCTCCACCTCCATTCTCAAACTAGATGTTGTGGTATCAAATGCAAGGCTTTGTTGCACTAAGTGACGTCCATTACTAAGCCGATCCCTCTTCTAAGGACAAAAGCAGATGAAGAAGTAGAAGAGCAGTTTTAATTGATACATTGTATGAACTGAAGTATCGCATATGATTTCGTTAAATAGAAACATAATTCTTTTAAAGAGTACATGATTTTGTTTCAGTAATTGTTGTATTTTTAAAAAAAGTATAGTAGACTGAGGTTTGAAACATTACGTTAATTTCAAACAAAATTACTAACTAAAAGTTTGCCAATCCCAGATCTGTGGAAGTAAGCAAATCAGCTGCTGCAGAAAGATGGTCATAAATATGTAAATATCAAGTTACTACACTTAAAGATGCACAGGTACAGATGAACAACTTACTTGCAAGAATACAGATGTTAACAATATCTATTAACAACTTTATTTAAACAAGTAAAAGTGTTAAGTGACGGTGAGCCTCTTCCTATGTTTATCAGGCCTTCGTTACACTACATCTCTGGCTCACACATTTCTGGAGTGCTTGAGACAGCAGTCAGCAACAAAACTTCGCCATCTTGATCTGACTGGCTTCCCTACAGGTGGGTAATTTTTCTTTCTATAAAACTGTTTTCCTCCACCTTTGCTGAAAACAACAAAAATATTGAAACCATTTCTTTTTCTTTTAAAGCACACATTCTTCTCCTCATTTTTTGTGTTAACCTTCTGTTCCTGTTTGTTTATCCACTTCTGGACTTTGTTTTCATTCCAGGACTTTGTATGCACAGCATGTCAGTATTTCATTTTATGCTAGCATGTTTCCTGTCCATTACTGAATCTTTTCTGTCAAGCCCATTTTTGGTCTTCTCTACCATTTATTGTTGCACTTAGTATGCCTTGTTTATGTGAATGACTTTCTGTTTGCCAGGATTTTAAATTTCTGTCTCTGCCATTGTTTCAGTTTCTGCTTGTGTCTGTCCTGTCCATTGCTGAATCTTTTCTGTCAAGTCCATATTTGGCCTTCTCCACAATTTCCGGTTGCACTTAGTATGCCTTCTTTATGTGAATGACTTTCTGTTTGCCAGGATTTTTAATTTCTGTCTCTGCCATTGTTTAAGTTTCTGCCTATGTTTCTCCTGTTCATTGCTGAATCTTATCATCCCCATGTGGGATCCAAGGCCCGATTTGTTTAGAGGAAAAAGAATAGACCTTCTACTTAATAAGTGTATCATAAACAATGATTAATTAGCAGTTTGCTGAAATCTGATGATTGTGGCCAAAAGGCGCAAAAATCACACTCTGTAAACCACAATTTAACGTGCCAGCCACTTTTTTAAAAGGGTGAACACAGAAAAAATAATCTTATCTGTCTGGTCCACTTCTTCGCTTTTTCTGTGCTCAACATTCCTCGTTATCCTGTATGACTGTGTCTTTGCCAGCATTTTCATTTCTGCTGGTGTTTTTGTTTTTCTGTTATAATTGTTATGTCTATACCAATTTTGATCTTCCTCTTTTTTTGTGTGTGTTTTGGTGTGATTTTACTAAATTTCATGATAGACAGCCCACTTGATTTTGATGCTTTATGAAACCATTAAATTTTGCAAGTCTTTGCAGTTATTAATAGGTCTGGGTAAATCCAATTGCATGTTATCTGCTTATATACTGCACATCACTTCAGTGTGATTTGTGTGTGTAATTGTGGGGATATGAGCATCTCCATGGCCAAGTGGTCAAACCATTTGCCACACACTCTGGAGGTCATGGGTTTGTTTCATAGACATGTTATTCAATTCTTGAGTGCAATTTTTATTTTACGGAGAAACTTGGGATCTTTGCTGGAGCTTCTAAGTTCTTGCTTGCAACAGGCAACTGTCTATTCTTCAAGTCTAGACTGAGCTATAGGAAATAACTCAGTGCAATAAAATTAGTCCTGTCAATTTTAACTGTAATGTTTATAAGGATGTGCTTATAGGACACGTAAACTGCAGTGAAGATATGTTAGGATACTGATCTCTCACATGTGGATTCCGGTAACACTGACTACACCTGCCTGGGATGGTGACCTTTGTTCTCATTAAAGAACACAAGAGACAAGATACCAGTCAAATGTGTCCTTTTATCTCTGTTTATTTCATTCTTCTTTGAGCGCCAATCAATGCTTGTGAATTTGTTTATCTTGCTAGAACAGGTGGTACTTCTTCTTAAAGTCCATGCCATGTGGCGTTGGTAGTCATATCCATCCACAGTCTTCTGTCTCATGTACTTTCAATCAACTCTGACACAGATGATCTTCCCTGCCATGATGTCAGACCATCCAGCACCTATTCTCTTGGTCTTCCGCTGCTTCTCCTCCCCTCCATCTTTCCAACCATCATGATGTACTCCAGTTTTCTCCTTCTCATCACATAACCAAAGAATCCAGATTGTCTCTTTCTGATGTGAGTAATCAGTTCTCCTCGTTAGTCAGTTTCTTTCAAGATGTCTACGTTACTCTTTTTATCTGTCCAGGGCATTCTCATCATTCATCTATAAAACCACATCTCCACTGCTTCCATAAAATTTTCACTATTTTACTGTCAATGATTCACATCTATATATCAATATAGAATTTATATACCTTTTAAGAATTCTCTTTCTCGTCTCAGTTAACAAAGAATGATTGGTACTTCAGTCCTGTATAATCTAAAGACTGCCACCTGTTCATGTCTGATCAGTTGATAATGTACCTCATCTTTCGTCCACTTGCGTCTGTAGTTACTTCTTATTTTCCTCATGATCTCATCATAGATTATTAGGTCAACATGAGACTAATCTAATCTTCCATCATCTTTTGCCAGTTTATAACTTCCCCCTTCCCAGATAAATTTTTTAATTAAGTCAGATGAAAGTATTTATCGGGAGCTGTGGCAGCACACTGACTAGATGCTCACCTGCTGGCCAAAAGTTCTTAAGTTCAAATCCACAATGGATGGATTTGGAGGGGGGAAAATTCCTATCTCCCAGGTTGACCCAGCCTAAAATGAGTGCCAGGCCATTTCCTGTGTAATGAAGGCGGCTGGTGTGATGTTGACCGCATCCTCTGCCAAAAGCTGTTTGGTCTATCAAACATAAAAGTTCCTTTACTTTTCTTTTACAAGGACTTACTCCACAAAATTAATCATGCTTAACCAAGACTTTCGTCATCGTCATCATCATTGACCTGTTGTGCCATTATATGTCACATAGAAATCATAGTCTTTTCCTCCATTCCTTTCTGTTCTTTGCAGTTCCTTCGAAATCATGGATGGAATTCAGTCGAGCATCATTGACTGTTCTCAACAATATTTTTGTAGGGTTTCTTTTGGATTCCTCATCTCTGCACTTGTCTTTATTTCAAATGTTAGTGCCGGTTTGATGATTTCCTGCTCGTTTTTTCTCAGGATGTGTCCAGTGTAGCACCATTTTAAAAAAAACTATTAAAAAAAAAAAAAAAACTATTGTCATCAGTGGTTGTCCAGTCATATCTCTTTTTTAACGAAGACTTGAGTAACTCTTAAATGCTTCTTTCATTCTTGTAGCCGAAGTGATTCTGTATTACCTGACTTCACACTGCATGCTGGTGCACAATGAGAATCGAAGGAACAACATGGTGACATTGTACAACCAGGCTGTGTCTTTGGCAGAAGAATGTGCAGGAGCTGGAGGTGGAAAGAATCAGCACAGCCCGTTGGAAATTGACATGCAGAACTGCTTACCTAGTGATATATGTGAGTACATGCAGAACTGCTTACCTAGTGATATATGTGAGTACATACAGAACTGCTTACCTAGTGATATATGTGAGTACATACAGAACTGCTTACCTAGTGATATATGTGAGTACATACAGAACTGCTTACCTAGTGATATATGTGAGTACATACAGAACTGCTTACCTAGTGATACATGTGAGTACATACAGAACTGCTTACCTAGTGATATATGTGAGTACATACAGAACTACTTACCTAGTGATATATGTGAGTACATACAGAACTGCTTACCTAGTGATACATGTGAGTACATACAGAACTGCTTACCTAGTGATATATGTGAGTACATACAGAACTACTTACCTAGTGATATATGTGAGTACATACAGAACTACTTACCTAGTGATATATGTGAGTACATACAGAACTACTTACCTAGTGATATATGTGAGTACATACAGAACTACTTACCTAGTGATATATGTGAGTACATGCTGTCACATAACAGTCCAAGCCACCCCTTTATCTTGGACTCGTCTAGATCCTGTCACCTCTATGCAGATGATGCTAAGTTTAAAAATGGACCTGCCTCTATAGATATATAGTCTATCTTTTTGTAAATATTGGTCTTTGGGTCAAGTTAAGTACTCCTATATGCCCTAATTCTCTTGGGAACGTTATAGTTTTGAATCTGTGATCGTAAATGAGAGATTTATTGGTAATTATTGCCAAAAGTCCTATGGGCAGATCACCGCCTTGGGCGGATGCATTTTTCCCCGCCTTCTTCGAAAGAGACGCTTGTGTCAGAACAATTCTTGATCAAGTCTCCATCATGGAAGGACGCTTTGCCTTTGTGCTTATTTCTGTCCAAATTGAAGAAACATTCAAGTTTCATAAAAGAATCCAAAGCTTGGGATTTTAACTTCGGTGGGAGCCTGGTCGACAATCATCCACAAAGTATCCAACCTACCTACCACCAGCAGCTAGACAACTCCAACATGACTTCTTGGGTCATTCCTGTTCCTGCATCCTGTTGGTGACAGTATTCTTCACATAAATTGTCTGGCCTCTTCCCTATCGATATCTAAGGCAGGAGACTATAGTTAATGGTTTATAACACGGACTCTAATTCTGTGATATGTCCCGGAATATAAGGGTATTATAAATGAACTGCCAACAGTGTATTCAGTTATACTTGTATGCTGAGGACAGAAGAAATTCTTGATCATTGTATCAACCATCCCAGATGCCGAAGTGATGTGCTACAGTGGACCGAACTTGGATACAGAGAGTTATATTCCAGAGGTTGTGGTCACTCTTTAACGCGAAGTGCTTAGTCTACTGTGTCATGATTCCACAACAGTGCCATGATAACCTTGGCTGCTATTGGGAGCCACCCTTGTTCTAGTCATATATGAGTTGTCTTTGTCTCCTCAATGTCATTGATTTTATTGAATTCTTTTGCCTTATCCTTGTATTGGTAATACTGATTACAGAATGCCTTGTAAAGTTTCAGTTCATGGTTTATCCATCTTTCACTGTTCCTAGTTGTCTGGAGTGTGTGTATGAGATCACTATATTACCTATTTAACTAAGTTTCTTAGGTTGACTAGGATAGGAGACTATCTAGTCTTGGGGCTTAATTGAAGTAGCGAGGAAGTCAGGCTAAGTTGTGCCTAGGAATATTCTATGTTCTGTAGTACCATAATTTGTTTTGCCTCACCCCTGAAGTAGGTTAGATGTTTATTGGAGCTGCGGGATTCTGCCTAGACCATGCGAGCCAAACATCTCAACATTTTATAACTACTTCAGAGTGCTGATTGGTTTATCAGGGGAAACCCTTACCAAGGCACATGACATTAGCAGTATGTGAGTACACGCAGAACTGTTTACCTGGTGGTATATGTGAGTACATGCAGAACTGTTTACCTGGTGGTATATGTGAGTACACGCAGAACTGTTTACCTAGTGATATATGTGAGTACATGCAGAACTGCTTACCTGGTGGTATATGTGAGTACATGCGGAACTGCTTACCTGGTGGTATATGTGAGTACACACAGAACTGCTTACCTGGTGGTATATGTGAGTACACGCAGAACTGCTTACCTGGTGGTATATATGAGTACACGCAGAACTGCTTACCTGGTGGTATATGTGAGTACATGCAGAACTGCTTACCTAGTGATATATGTGAGTACATGCACAACTGCTTACCTGGTGGGATATATGAGTACACGCAGAACTGCTTACCTGGTGGTATATATGAGTACATGCAGAACTGCTTACCTTGTGATATATGTGAGTACATGCAGAACTGCTTACCTAGTGACATATGTAAGTACTTAAATTGTGGTTTCAAATGAAAACCTGAAAAGTGTGATAAAAAATTACAGTAACTATGCCACTATCTTGTAACCTGCTGTATCATTGTTAAGTTAATTGTGTATCCTTTACAGATGTTGTAGAACCAACACCAGCATTATTTGGCTCTTGTGGTTTTTTTAAATTTTGTGTTCTGTAGTTTGCCATCGCTTACTGTATGTTCAGCTGTTGGTATCACTGACGAAACCAATGCAAGACAGATCATCTGCAGCTGTGATAGAACTGGCATCCTGGCATTACGAAGCGGGCTTACAGCACCTGAACCACAGATGCCAACTGGTATTGTGATTAAGGATGCCAAAGTTTTAACCATGTGACATCATGGTGCAGATAAACATGGTGATGTCATAATGACAGTTTATTATATGGCCGCCTCACTTTTGACATGCACCAAAGAGGAGCAGCATTCTGTTATCAGGTTTTTTTTCCTCAGTGAAGGGGTGAAACCTATAGACATTTATTGGCCCATGAAGTATGGTGATGTGTGCCTGTCCATGATGTGCTACAGAACCACAAAGTGTCTGCATGGTCGATGCCCTGGCAGCTTACACCAGTGTTGAAATAAACCATTGATGCTGGTCAAGAACTTTTGCAGTGCTAAATGTTTTAATGTTGAATTAAGAATCAACATCACAGCACTTGGGACACTCCCATAAGTGCTCCATTCTGATATTCAGCAGCAAGCAAAGAGTTCCAATTTTGATGGCACCAGTAGCCGTCTGATTATATATCCGTCTCATCCTTCCCCTGAGTGTTGAGTGTCGACCAGATCCCCTAGTAACTCCTCACAGCACCATTCTCCTCAGACCATAATGATCTGTCTGCGGCTCAGCACTGTTCACTCGTTCCTAAAGGACCCTCACAATATCTAGCTTGTCATACATGAGTTCACCACCAAGTGGTGCAGAACCAACCAGTCTATCTGCCTGCTCATTTCCCAACACACTGGCATAACCTTCTGCATTGCTTAGAAGCAGAAGCTAGTTGTTTTCAATCAAGAATTGTTACCAAAGATATAACTTGGGTTCATTACAAGAAGATTGAAATGAAGAGAGCAAGCAAGGAATAAAGCCATCCCTCCTGATTAAACCCAGAGAATTTTGCACACAGCCATCTCTGCAGGGAAGGTTGTGACAAATCTCTTTTGGGATGAACGAGGCATTTATTTTTAGAACACGTCATGCCAAGAGGGAAAACTGTCACCAGTGATACATTTACAGATCTTATCAGGAATGATCCTCTATTTGTAATCAAATCCAAATGACTTGCACTTTTGAGTAAAAGTGTTCTTTTGCAGCATGATAATGCTTGATCACATACTGCCCGTGCAATGCTTGAAACCATCGAAGATCTCCACTTTCAGTGTGTACTGCATTTCCCCGTGTTCACCAGACCTAGCCTTAATGATTTTCATCTGTTTGGAAAACTCGGCAAGTTATTGGAAGGGATGACTTTTTGGCCAGTTGAAGAGGCATAGCAGGTGGTGCATGAGTGGTTTTACATGTGGCGAAGAGCATTTGTTTTTACAGGAATCCAAGCACTTTATTGGCACTAAAAGACTTGCATTGAACGCAGTGGTGACTACATTGTAAAAATGAAACATCTGATCTTTACTTTTTCAGAATATATTCATACACACACACACACACACAGAAAATTAAGCTTTTCATTTGAAGCATTCTTGTACTTCTTATTTGAAACCATGGTGGCATAGTGATTAGTCCACTTGCCTACCAAGACTGTGGGCAGAAAAAAAGTAAGAGATGCCAGAGGGAAATTGTTCTTGACAATCATGTATCATATTAAAGAGAGATTTTGACAAATGAATAAATACATGGTTAATTGTATGTGCTTTTGGGGGGGGGGGTCATATGACCCTGTCACAAGGTTTGCTTAAGGCCATCAGAAAAGACATATTTATTGAAGTTATGAAGAAAAATAATTGTTTGGGGGTTGCCACAACATAAGGGAACTGTATTAAAGGGTCGCGGCATTAGGAAGTTTAAGAACCTCTGCTTTACAGGATGTTGTAGAATCAACACCAGCATATTTTGGCTGTTTGTTTTATCACTAGGCACTTTTATGTTCATTGGTTTGCAATTTATTTTCTGACAGTCATTAGTAAATCGACACCCCCCCCCCCACCCCACCACAGACACCCTCCCAAATACACATCATAAGAGGTGACTAATCATGGGCATTTCCTTAAGTAGTAATGCATCTGCCTGAGAGGTGAGGAACTAACAGTCTGCATTCAGATAAACCAGATCTACAAAACGAACATGCACATAAAACTCAAGTTCTGGAACAAGCCAAAAATGGATGAATAAATAGAACTTTCTGCCAGAGTTTACATCCGATGAATGCTAGGAAGAAGCAGAAGGGTGCTGGTGTGCACCACAAAGTGCCTGTTAAGTAGTGCTGGAAAAAAAAAACACTGATGCCCTTTGAAAGTGCTTGTACTGCAAACTGTTGTTGAGCATTGTCAGAAAAAAAAAACTCTGGTTAAAACCAGCACAAGACACTAGTTTACCAGTGCTAGACACTTAATGAAGAAGAAGCAGGTCAAGGAGGTACATGTGTTTGTGTTAATTTCTTTTGCAGCTATAGAAATCAAGTTGGATGCCTTTGTCACATCAGAGTCCTGTCATTCTGAGCTCTGTAAGGCATTGACCGTTTCCAGCTTCCCGGGGGCCAGATTCCGACTGATTGTGGAAAAGTTGTGTATCACATGTCTGGGTGGAGATAGAGTTAATCTGCTGCTTAAACAGGTCACTGCAGAGGTTAGTTCTCTATTAGTTTTCTGAATGTTCATGTGAGCAAATAATGGTTTTTGCGACAACGGGAAGCTGACCGGTTCTACTTTTCGTTTGGCTTGATATCTTTTTTAAGTAAATAAGGTTTCTCTTCTTTTTCTACTTCTTAGTGTTAACCAGCTGTAAACTCAGGCAAAAATGTATGGTTGTTTGTCCACTTGTAGACTTTGATCTTATTCTAGAAAATGAGTTTCGTGTTCACATTCATTTTACAGATCTGGTTTATTTGTATGCAGACTGCTGGTTCCTCAACTCTCATGCAGGTGCACTCCGACTTAAAAGGAAATGTACATAATTAGTCGCCTTTTACAGCAAACTTGTTAGGGGCAATGGGTTTGTTCCAGACGATGTGACCCCAGCATCTACATGGGAAAATGAGGAGTCTGGATATCAAGGAGGAATTAGCTTATTGATAATATCACCTCTTGAAAGCTGAAATACTTTGACCATATTAAATGCCATAATAGTTTGGAGAGAATCCTAATTGGGAGTATGATTCCAGAAAGAAGAGGCAGAGATTGACCAGCAGAATATCAAGGACATCCTCTGCCTAGCGAATCACAAGGCAGATAATTGCAGTTCCAACTCAACAGCAAACAGGTCAACCTTTATTTGCTCCATTTCCATGCCAATAAAAACCAAACAAAATGCCTCTCACTGCCCTTGCATTGAGTTAAAAATTATACCAGTTAGGAAATACCGTAACTAAATAAATAAAAAGCAGTAAAATATCAGAAATGTTGAAATAATTAATTATTTTATAAGGTATAACATTAAAACCATATGCAAATTCAGACAGTAATTAAAGAAAAAGTCTATATTTTTTGCTTTACTTTTTTGACTGTGAAAAATGTCTTTCCCTGGCATGCGTAAATGCAACAAATAGTGAGATTACATTATCTGAGCACCCAGTCTGCATCATGTATATGTTAATTTTGTCCATGTGCGCCAAAACATCTGACTGTGATACAGGTTGTGCTAGCAGGACACAGTCATCCTCATCATCAGAGTCAGGGCTCAGATGGTCTGTTGGTTGCGTGGTTGGCATACATAGCCCTATAATATCACTCCTTGAAAGAGTGGTGCTGGTAATTACATCATTATCAGTGTTCACATACTCCTCTGGTTCAGTGTTCAGCTTTTGATACAACCTAGCAAGTAAAAAAAGTACCATAATCAGGTTCTCCCCCCTTCCCCCTCTCTCGCTGTCACACACACAAATACACACACCACTCACTCACTCATTCACTCACTTCTCACTTATGTTCATCTCATAACTACAATTCTAACACTTACTCTTTTGCATAGACTGTTTTGAAATAGCTAAAATTATACCATTGTTATGTTGTCATTTATTATTGTTATTTCACTGTGACGGAACAAGTCAGAACTCTCATATACTTAAATGATACAACTATCACTAAGTTTTCCTGTTTAGTTACTGAATCCATTTCTGCATCACTTTGATTATATAAAAGCCCTTGTTTGAAAACTATAGTTAGGTGTGAGCAGTGTTGTATTTACAGTTATCTAAAAGTGAAGGAGAGAGATGAATAACTAATCATTATATTTATATATTCATTTTCTTTCATAATTTGCAGCAGCTAAAAGGCCTTCAGTTAAAATACAACTCTTTAAGGAACATGGATTTTGTCCGCATGGCTCCTGTACTGCAGTCTTTCACCAGCCTCACAGCCCTCGATTTGTCCTGCAACTACATTAGCCTATACGACAATGAATCTATGGCAGTCATTATGAAACAGACATTTTCCACATTATCGAAACTGGAGCGGTTAGATCTCAGCAACAACCGGCTCAAGAACAAACTGTGCACAGTTCTGCTGGGGGTAACCCACCCACTGAAACACTTACGTCTGGCAGCTTGTGGTCTGACTGTGCTGGATCTCACGGCACTAGCAATGTTCCCTTACCTGGAGAGTCTAGAGGAGCTGGACCTCAGTGAAAACAATTTATCACCATGTCACTTTCCTCTGATTCCCATTCTGGCCAAAGTCAGTGGTGCAATCAGAATCCTTGAATTCCAGGAATGTGGAATCACAGATGAAGTTATGAACATGCTCAGTTATCACCTGACATTTATGCCAAGACTGACTTACTTGAACATGGGTGGCAACGCCTGGTACTCGGAAACAACCCTTAAATTAGCCTCACAGGTGTCAAAGTTATCCGGGTTGCGTGTGTTTAAACTTTCTTATCCTCTGGACTGTTATTTCCTTGGAATGGATGAAGATAAGACTCTGGAGACTGAAGCCAAGAATGCTTTCAGGACTTCCCTGCACACAGCGCTTGAAAATGCCATGACAGACGGGCAGCAGAATGAGCAGTTAAAAGTGGTCTTAGATGAAATCAACAGGGCAGCTGAGTAATGTGGTTATTATTATAATTTTGTTTTTATATTTTTGAATAGTGATAATTTTTTTGAGATAATGTCAATGTCTAATACAAGTTTGAACTCTCTTAGTTTGAAACTGACATTTTGTTTACTTTTTTTTTTTGGTTTCAGTTTTAGTTTGATTTTTGTTTTCTAAACTATTTATTTGTTGTTGCCTGTGCAGTTTATTTAGATTTTCTTCATTGATGTATATTACTTTTCATTGACAAACATTAAAGATTGAACACTTGTCAGTTTTGATCTGTTGTAGTTGCACACAGAAGGTGTGTTACAGTATTTAAATTTGCATGTATTTCAAATTCATGTTTTAAAAGGAATAATGACTCATTAAGTCAGTAATGTTCTCAAAGCTGTAAAGAACTAAAAAGGAACTACAAAAAAATGCACACACTTTCATTGTAAGAACTCATCAGTCGATGAAAATCATGGATATGATCACAAGAAGAAGAAATCGTGGATGTGATCACAAGAAGAAGAAATCATGGATGTGATCACAAGAAGAAGAAATCATGTATGTAATCACAAGATGAAGAAATAATGGATGTGATCACAAGAAGAAGAAATCATGGATGTGATCACAGAAGAAGAAATCGTGGATGTGATCACAAAAAGAAGAAATCGTGGATGTGATCACAAGAAGAAGAAATCATGAATGTGATCACAAGAAGAAGAAATCATGAATGTGATCACAAGAAGAAGAAATCATGGATATGATCACAACAAGAAGAAATCGTGGATGTGATCACAACAAGAAGAAATCATGGATGTGATCACAAGAAGAAGAAATCATGGATGTGATCACAAGAAGAAGAAATCATGAATGTGATCACAAGAAGAAGAAATCATGAATGTGATCACAAGAAGAAGAAATCATGAATGTGATCACAAGAAGAAGAAATCATGAATGTGATCACAAGAAGAAGAAATCATGAATGTGATCACAAGAAGAAGAAATCATGAATGTGATCACAAGAAGAAGAAATCATGAATGTGATCACAAGAAGAAGAAATCATGAATGTGATCACAAGAAGAAGAAATCATGGATGTGATCACAACAAGAAGAAATTGTGGATGTGATCACAAGAAGAAGAAATCGTGGATGTGTTCACAAGAAGAAGAAATTGTGGATGTGATCACAAGAAGAAGAAATCGTGGATGTGATCACAACAAGAAGAAATCATGGATGTGATCACAACAAGAAGAAATTGTGGATGTGATCACAAGAAGAAGAAATCGTGGATGTGTTCACAAGAAAAAGAAATCATGGATGACAAGAAGAAGAAATAATGGATGTGATCACAACAAGAAGAAATCATGGATGTGATCACAACAAGAAGAAATCGTGGATGTGTTCACAAGAAAAAGAAATGGGTGACAAGAAGAAGAAATAATGGATGTGATCGCAAGAAGAAGAAATCATGGATATGATGACAAGAAGAAGAAATCATGGATGACAAGAAGAAGAAATAATGGATGTGATCACAACAAGAAGAAATCATGGATGTGATCACAACAAGAAGAAATCGTGGATGTGTTCACAAGAAAAAGAAATGGGTGACAAGAAGAAGAAATAATGGATGTGATCGCAAGAAGAAGAAATCATGGATGTGATGACAAGAAGAAGAAATCATGGATGTGATCACAAGAAGAAGAAATCGTGAATGTGATCACAAGAAGAAGAAATCATGGATGTGTTGACACAAAAAAGAAATCATGGATGACAAGAAGAAGAAATAATGGATGTGATCACAAGAAGAAGAAATCAAGGATGTGATCACAAGAAGAAAAAATCATGGATATGATGACAAGAAGAAGAAATCGTGGATGTGATCACAAGAAGAAGAAATGATCTTTTTGCATGTTACATCTGTGGATTAACCATTTCACCCAGGTAGTGCCAACAAACAATTGGGTGGGAATTCTTAAAAGAAATCCTTTAAAAACACATATTTGACACAGGCCACTAATAAATTTTCCTACAAATTTAATTAAAGAAATTTTCTATTATAAAAAAATAATTTTGTTGTTGTTGTGTATCTAAAGACTTATAAAGGAAGTGATAAATAAAAAATGAACAGATTGAAGCATTAAATGGAACACATTCCTCGGGTCTAAAATATGTATGTATCAAATGACTCGTGCGTTGACCTCTGTTACTGAGAATTATGGGACAATTTAACATGAACTTTACATTAAAAAAAACTTTTTCATCTATAGGAAAATTTTTCTTAATGCTTTTTCAGTTAATATTTTTACACCCTGATCTCAGTGTTTACACAGATGTGAAACAGCCCATAGCGTTAACTATACTTCTTATAAAACATGTCAGAAAAGTGACACGTACGGGGAATTTATCTCAGCTTAAGTTTACTGGTTTCTAGGCGCAACAGAATTAAATCATTGGGCAAACATGTTTACTGTTTTCATACTCCTGTCAGGTTTTGAAGTGCAGGCTTGATAACTGGATCATCACAATAGCTGGGACCATCAAATTATTGTTAAATAATAGTTGACCTGCTTAGGCTGGGTCATCCTTGCCATTTTAAAAGCCCATCTTTATTGGAAATTTGAAGAGTTATAAAATAAGCAGTGAATACAATTATTTAAAAAATTCATCTTCTAGTTTAAAATTAATCCCCAACCCCACATGGATGTAAACCTATTTCTCGTGTTTGTTTTCTGAATGTATTCAAAACACTGCAAACTGTTATATTTAAATATTTTTGTTTTGGAGTGGGGGGGGGGGGGGGGGGGTTCATCACATTTGTGTATTTTGCATTAGCCATTGTTCAATTTTGGGACTACTTTTAAAGACTAGTGCATAATTAGGAAGTTGCAGGAAATGTTTTGCAGTGGAGGATTCTTGTCAAGATATCATACCACTTCTGCTTTTTATTTTCAATCTCCGATTGAAGTTCCATGATGATAACTCTGCTACTCAATTTCTTTCTATGTCTTTGGACTGGGTGAAGTACATCAGGTGGTTCTTGGCGTTTTCATGAACACTTAACCTTTCATGAACTTTCCACTAGTAAAATCCATTTTCTGGCACTAGAAAGGTTGGTTGACCTGAGTTAGAATACAGAATACAACAGTTGTAAAGTGCTGACTGTTTCGAAGGGGGAAATAAGCCAATCATGACAGTCATTTCCTCACCTTGACCGTTACCAAGTTCTCTCTTAAACCAAGCTTTGTTCATTGAACAATTGTCTGTTGGTAGGAAAGGCCCCGCACTGTTTTGAAAATTCTTTATACCAGACTTTACAGTTTGTGTTTTGATTTCCTCAGACATACTGCTTTTCTGTATATGCTTGTCAAATTTTAGAAGTCCTATGTCATGCTGTTGAACTACAGACTCTTTGAGATGGATGAACAATCATTATGTTCAGGTTCGATCTTATTAGATATAGTTTGGTCAGTATGTTCAACATTATCACCAATTTCTTTTGTCTTTCCTCCCTCTTGTTGTCATATCAATATTTTCACAAGCACCATCACCACTAGGCTTGTCATACTCATTTTTGTCTGATTATACCTTCTCTTCAGCTTTTGATTTGTCTGAATCTACTTCCTCTCCATCTTGCGACACATTTGAACTCAGTTGGATTTTAGTGTCCAAGCATACTTGTAGCAGGTTTATTAAAGTACTTGAGCCATGCATTTCCAAGTTAGGCATGAAGAACATACATTTTTTTTTGTGTGGCTTCACCCGCTTCCATCCTTCATTTCTTTTGCCCTTCAGCTTCATTTTTCTTCTTAATTCAGACAGTTTTATAGTCTTCTTTAAAAAAAAAATTAGCTGAGTGTAAGCCAAAATATTTCAAACGAGAACAACTATAATAACTCCAAAAATGATATTTTTCCTATTAAGAAACATGTACTAGGTACAGTTACAGAAACAATGACTTTGTCTGCCAGACTAGGGAATGCACCACTTTAAAAAAACTGTAAGTGGTATTGATCTGTGGTAAATGTGTATAATTTGGTAGAGTGACACCCTTCTAAACCTCTTCAACAAAATGAAACTCATTGTGGTCACTCCAGATGAGACCCCCCCCCCCCCCCAAGGCTTGCTGCTCTTGCCTCTCCCCTCCCCTTTTTCTTTTTATAAAGTGGCACTCATTTGGGCGGGGGGTAATCATCTCTATATTGAAGGTGGGTTGCAGTAAATATTGGGTGTTTCACTCGGGGCAGAACCCAGTATTTCATTCATAACTCAGACACTAATAAAGGTATGGCAGCAAAATTTGGAGTGGACTTACCTCCATTCATGTGAAACGGATAACAGATGCTGGAAATGGCCACCATGGTTTGTTTTTTGTAGTCCGTACTTGAGAACTCTGTCTGTCTGGGACAAAATAAAAATCCTAACCTGCGCAGTGTGTGGCAGCTGCCCTAGCCATATGGCCTTTAATCATGAGGCCCATGACCCTTCTGCCCCACACTGCCTTTAAAGTGGTAAATAACAGGCAGCAAAGACAGTGCACATAAATACAACCAGGGCTTTTTTCTGGTGGTCCGCAACGGTATGCAGTACTGACACGTTCTTTTTTACCTAATGTGTTTTCAGTGCTCCTGTAATAAATACTTGATGAGCACCGGCACTTTTTTGGAAATGGAAATGCTTAGAAGTTGGATGTAAGTTTGACATTTGCGGCCTCGGATGTGCCTCATTATGGTTGTGACATTTTTGAATCCAGTGTCCTGTTATGCCAAACATATTTGAATCCTAAACATTTGGAAAACAAAACATTCAGCATGATTCTTACTTTGTACTATTATCTGCTTACTTAAGAGCAGGATCCGCTTCGCCAGCATGGTAAATTAATATCCATAAAGCTATAAAACAGCGACACTCCATTGTTATCAGAAAGGAGCTGTCCTTGCATGGGTTCAGGGGTTCCATTTTGGGAGAAAAATGTAATAACACTCTCCCCCCCCCCCCCCCTTTCCCCAGAAGACTATGCAGTGAC